TAAAAAACGTATTGAATGTAAATAACATTACATAGTAATAATAATAAAAAAGAGTAGTTAGAATTTTCCATTTTCTTTCGGTAAAAGAAAAAAATCCATTAGCTCGCTTAGCTTACACTATTTCTTTCTGTTTTAAACAAAATTATTTGTACACTATTTATTATTGGGTAATTTACATCAATAGGACTAAAACACAATGATTTTTCAATATAGGAATTATTGGGTAATTTACCTAAATAGGACTAAAACACAGTGACTTTTTCAATATAGGACCATATGTTTTTATTTCAAATGTAGGACCATTGGTCATTATCTATTAGTCATTATTCAACTAAATGTCCAACATCACTTGTACATTATTTTTCTCACTATTCATTATTAAGTCATATTTAAGGAATAAATAAGTTTAAGTCATACATTGAGAAATGACTTATTTTTCAGTCCTATTCAGTACAAATTTCACTTAATTATTTACTCTGATATATATTTTTAAAAATTACAATTATGAAATGGAAAAATTTATATAAATAGTTCCAGAAATTCAAAATTTCACAATAATACTCCCAAAATCAAATAAAGACTCCTATGCTCCCAATTAAATTTTATGTTTACATGGTTACTCCCATGGTGCCTAATCAATCTTTCTTACTTTTAGGTGTCATTAAATGAGCTTAGTTGGCAAATTTGATTTGTATTTTCTATTTTAAGGAGTAATAACCATTCGCGTGCTCAAAAAAATACGGAGTACAGTACAATCAAAATTTATCCATCTTCATTTTTCATACCCAAGGTTCAACGGTAAATCTTTACGAGTGACTTTTCTTCTTTCTTCATCTCACATATAGTCTCTCTAATAAAGAAAGATGTCAATTGTTTATGATGTTTTATTGAGAAACCATTGAAAGCAAGGATCTGCTTCAAAATCTGTGGAGTTCTTTGCGTCTTCATGTTCATCAAACAAAGAAAGTCGTCCGGGTCCGAATTGCAAGCATAATATTTGTGCTAATTTGTATGTTCCTCTATAAACCCCCTATTGTGAGAAGAGAGGTAAGCTATAAATTGATTAAGCACAATCAATTAATTATATGTAACCATAATTAGAAAATTTGATTAAGCAAAATGGGAGTAATGATGTAAACTTAAAACTTAATTTGGAGCATCAATGTCTTTATTTGATTTTGGGAGTATTATTCTAAAATTCCAAATTTCTAAGAGTATTTCTAAGAGTATTTGTATAAAATTTTCCTTATGAAATTAATAAAATCATGATGGATAAAGTATAAAGAAAGAAGGACAAAGGGAAAATCAAGTGGACAATTATTTTTATGTTTATGCGTGTTTAAAAGAAAGAAGGACAACAAAATTGAGGTTGTATGGATAAAGCATAAAGAAAGAGATTCTTGTTGGGTGGATGGTTGGGCATTAAATGATTCTGGAGAAGAATCCTATGGTTTTATCCATCAATCCAAAAAGGTCGATCGATCGCCTCAATTGAATCTTTTCTCTTTTACAAATAAATACTTATTAAGTTCCAAATTTAACTTTTTAGTCCCTCCGTCCCACAAAGACAAAAAACATATTGCATAAAGTAGCAAAATAAGTGTAAGATAATTTTGTGTTGATTTTCTAAAAATATATTTGATGTAACAAGTAAAATAGAATATGATGTGTAGATTATTAATAAAAAAGTATGATATGATATGTAAGATTTGAAAAGGTAAGAGGTAAAAATGAATTTTTAATAAAAATGAGAAGGAGACTTTGAGACATCATTTTTTTTGAAACGTAAAAAACTTTTTGGACGAGGAATATTTTTGTCATAAACTTTTAAAAGATAAAATTATTTGATTGAAATTTGTACGGAGCAGAAAAAATTAAAGTAGACCACTCATTTCATTCGTTTTAAAGAATGGAAATTTAATTTGAAATACCCAAAAAAATGTGAAAAATTTATTTTTGAAATGGAAGAAGTAGCAATTATCACTGTTCTACACTCTGTTCCACTTTTGGAGTTTTGGCACAAATAAAAAATTAGACGTGCTACATTGCTTTCAATAGTAAATTAAAAATTAAAAGAAAACGTGAAGTGTTAGATATGGTTGCTCAAAAATTAAAAGTTGTATGGTTGCTCCGCCTAAATTTTATGATGGTATCGAAACAGGTTTTAGTTCACCTCATTTATTAAGCTATTCGGCTATACGTTCAATCCAAGCACCCCGTTAGTTTCTAACACAGTTGTCCGTATGAAGTATGTTTCGAACGGTCTTTGACTCATTTAACATGATTGCTTTCCTGGAAGTCCATATCCAGCGACTCATGGTTTTTTAGGTACTGACGCTGAAAAAAATCGAGAGGATGATAGTTCATTTGCAAGTGGTCAATTGGTTAGATTCAAAATGGTTTGATTGTCCACTTGAGAGAGAATGTTATAGTATATCACACATCAGAAGTTGAATGGAAAAATAATCGGAATATATTAAGCTATTGAGTTGAATTAAGTAATCGATTGCTTTCAATTTTTTTAATATGGTTCATTCAAAGACTCCAAATGTCTTATGACCCAATCAAGTAACCTTTTCCCCATCTAAAATTCTATCATCTGTGTTTGTTTGTGCAAAGCATGAGTGCACTCTTGATAACATCCATCTGGTAGTACTTTAGCATCACCTTGAAAAAATAGAACTCACATCTATTTAGGTGTTTATAAATTGTATTATTTTTGGTGTCTTACAAACTTGATATAAAAAAATAATTATTATTATATTTGTTTCATAAATAATAATTAATCTACGTAGTAATATACATTTTTAAAAACATTTTCAAACAAAAAAAAAGAATTCACGTTGTAAACTTGTAATTGGAACTTAAAATATAGGGAAAATTCAATTTGGTTCTGAAAAATCTGAAAAATTAAGATCAATTAGGTAGGGAGGTAGTGTCACATGCGAAACGACATCGTCTGGTACAATCTGGCACTATTGGTGGTTGCTTTCTTGACTTTTCCTAAAACAAAATTTTAAATTATTGCACGAATGTATTTATGACTTGGAAGGACGCACTGTAAAAAAATGTTCTTTTTGCCTTTTACCGTTCATATTCACTCCGTACTGTATTACGAGTATTTATGGAAATGTAGTAAAAATATTAAGGCAACTTCCAAACATATTCATCATCCTTTTAATCCGATTTCGAGTTACTTAGAGACCTCTTTTTTTAATTATACGGATTAACTTTAAAAATACTGAAACAAAATTATTGGCAAACCGAGTATTTTAAAGACATACGGAGTACATTCTAAATCATGTTTCCCGAAACTAAATTCACACTTCATTTTTAAAATAAATTCTCTAAGTAGTCTTTTTCAACTGAAGATGTTTTATATTTGGTCCATATTTGTTGGGTGGGATTACACCATTCCTCATTTGTCTATATTTCCGTCTCAATGCCGTTAGACAAGAATTAAACGTCAAATTATATCAATCAATAAGAATCGTAAATATAATATTTAATACTCCCCCCGTCCCATAAAACCTTTCTCCTTTCTTTTTTTCAACTGTCCCATAAAACACTTCTCATTTCTATTAAAAAGTCACTTTTACCCTTTACTTTTTCATACCCTACCTATCACATCATACCTTTTTACTAATAATCTACCCATCAAATCCTACTTTTACCCATCACATCAAAGGACATTTTTGAAAATTCAATACCAAAATATACTCCTTTAAATCTTTTCAAAAAGCAAAACATCCCATGTTTCATGGGACGGAGGGAGTAATTATGGACTAAAAATAGAAAGCCCTTTTTATAAAGGATATTTAGAAGAATTTACTCTTTTAAACCACTTCTAATATAAAAATTAGTAAATATGATAAGTGTATCCCAGTAGGTTATTTATAAAAAGTCAAATTTTGTACACCATAAAAAGAGGCTAGTTTACCAAAAATTTTATTTTTTAAAACGAGAATTAGTTTGAAATGGATTTAAATATTTGACTCACTTCACCATTGTACATTTGCGCCAAAAAGAAATGCTATGGTCACAGACAAAAATAAGACATACTCGGTAACTCACAAATTTATCATTTTTGAATTTAAATTTTTGCATTTTAATAATATGAGACTAATTAATTCTTTCAATAAGATTTACAAAAACTCCTTATGAATTTTGTTTCACCTTTTTTGTGACACACATTTGTTTTTTTTGTGTCAAAAGCCCAAAACGAATACTTAACAAGCATAAAGAGACCAATTGGCAGTTGTAAGTAACGAGCAATAAAACAAGGCAAAAAATTTTTGTAATGAAATATTTGTTCGATGTTAAAAAGGTAATGCTCCGTGATAATACTCGGTAATGTTAGATTCGCTTTTAAAAATGTGAATGTAATCTTTACCTGAAGTCATTATCGTACAATGATACCTAAGAATAATGCTAGAGTCACAAACTAACAGTTCACAAAATTTACAAACTTGTCTTTTTAACACTTTCCTAGAAATAAGATACTCTCATATAATAAAAGATATTTTAATTTAAAATCTACAAAAGGCAAGTTTGTAAACTATATGTTTGTGACTCTAGCATTTTCCTATACATATTTAAGATCCTCCTAAATCAATCTAATTATTATTTAAAAAGATGTAACTTGAATTATAATCTTAATATTCTGTACAAAACAAGGATTGTTGCTAAATTTACCCACAAAATGACTACGAGCCTGCTTGGGAAGAGCGTTACAGATTAACATTAGCATTTTGGATAAAATTTTATTGGTATAAATTACTTTAAAAATGTTAACGCTAAACGCTACCCGTAAATAGTTTTTTCAAGACACAACACTAATCTCTAAGAGGCCCTACATGCACCACTATCATTTAAATTTATTAAAATTCATACCAATACCAAATTTATATTAATGAGGTGATATAAGTGAAAAGTGTGAATATAATAATATTGAAGGTAAATTTAGCCACATCCTAAAATGAATTAGTAACAAGAGATAAACATTAGTCCTTATTTTATAAGTAAAGGAAATAGACAAAAGAAACAGACAAAAGTAAATACAAATGTTGGGATTCAAAATCTATGAGTTCTGTCACACAAACCATTAGCAGCCAAAAGATGGTATCCTTTTCCAAGTCTTTTTTTGCTAACAGTCATATTCCATTTACACAAACATTGGAGATTTTTCTCTTCTTTTTTTGTTTAAACATCTCAAACATCAGCAGGAACAGAAGAGATAGTCTCACAACCATTTTCTCCAACTAGAAGAACCTTTATCACCAGAAAAGAACCTGGGAATGCTAAGCAGACTGTTAACCCGAGTTATACCTTCGAGGGCAGACCATTCTTCACCATCATCTCCGGTCGAAAGGCACTCGGCCAGGCTTCTCTTTGATTGCTCGCCCCGACTTTTGCCCTTGAGGAGGACATTCTCCTCGACTGGCACTATCTCACTGGTCATTATTGCTGGTGTTTTACCACAAGAATCTTCAAGAACACGGCCCTCCTTGCAAGTATCCGATTTCTGAATCTCCCCGGCATCACTTTTTCCCAAACTCGCGTATTCAGGCTTGGACAGTTGTTTCAGAAAGAGACAGACTACTGCGCAGTCGTCGTTTTTCGATGTTGGGTATTTGAGTCTCCATGCTCTAGTGGCACAGTCAATGAGAGCTCGAGAAGCCGAGGCGGGGCCCGGAGCAGAGGCCACAATATCTACAACTTCCTTGTTAGAAAGAACATCCCATACCTGCAGACACAAAAATTTAGGCAAAGAACATTCTTTGATCACGATAGAAGATAAACCGGGAAATATTTTGCGGGTTCCAAATGAATACGAAAAGAACAATGGAAAAAAATATACTTGAAAAAGATTACCCCGTCAGTTGCAAGAACAACAAACTCGTCTCTCTCAGTTATGCGGTGGTAATATACATCAGGAATAGAAATTAAGCCAAAATCCTTGAGACAGAAGTCACCAAAAGCTCTAGCCATTGCAAGCCCTGGTGAATCACTATTGGGTAACCATACACGTGCGACCTCTGGTTCATCTTGCAATGCAAAAACCCTTCCTTTGAATTTCTGGATTCTAGCAGCTTCTCCTGAAACAAATAAAAAAAACTTGAATTTTAGGTAACCGTACGTAAGATTATTTCTAAAGCTCTGTAATCTAAACTTGTATGTCTTCATATTAGGCAGGGATGAAGAAAGAAAGAAAGAAAGAGAAAGACTTGGAAGATTAGGCTTCAAATCCACAGTCAGTTGAACAGCCATCAATGAGTTGTCTTTATCTCTTGTTGCTAGTATTGCTCTTGAGTCGCCAATATTCCCAACTATGATATCCTGTCCCTGAAAAAAGAAAATTTATTTGTATTAATAAAAAGCAATTAGTAACATGTTATGCATAACCTATGACATCAAAAGTGAATACCTCGTGATTTAGCAAATGGGAATATATAATACAGAGTATCCGCTTATAATGTAAAGGTAAAAGAAACACTAAAAATGCAGTAATCTTGAACAGAGTTCCCTTTTTCGCTCAATTTCAAAAAATGGGAGTAAAGGATAAAACAAGGGAGCAATAATAAAGCTGACATTGTATTCGTTAACAATTACCTGGACAACCAATACAACAGCAGTTGAGCCACTACAAAAACAGTCAATTGTGGGGTGCAATTTGAGTTCCTTATCCATAGACTTGAATGCCTTTAATATTGACCGCTTAAGTGGCACGTGGATTTCGGGGAATTTCTCATTGTTCTCAGCTTCCGTTGGGTCGCACAAATCATCATCCAAGAAATCTTCTGGTTGTGAATTCCCATTTATGCCCCCATTCTCCATGGCAACGGTTGGATCAGCAGAAGATTTCACTTCCAACTCTGTGTTCAACAATAGTGGAAGAGAATCTCTTACTCTCCTTGCAACCATATGGCCATAAGGCCCGTGTCCATCAAATACTCCGCAAAAGATTGTCCCAGCTCTCGAACAGAAATTCTATGGTAGAAACATTCCAACCAAGTCATAAACTGACGCAATGCACAAAACAAATTGATTAATTCTTTTGACAGCTAAATACTCCGTAGCAAATAAAAATTGTTCATAATCACTATCTAATCTTAATTATCTACCCAAAACTGAAAGACGATCAAAGATAACTTTCATTTCACGCTTCGCAGATTCATAATGAACTAAAACAAACTACACACCAGAAAATACATTTGAAGCGGAACACTATCCTTTTCAATTTCAATTCAACTGTATGAATATTTCTATGTTCTACAATGTACTATCCATATCCAATGAACATAATCTCATCAAGTACAAGCTAAGACATAGTTGACTCATAACCACATGCTCAGTCACATAAACACCAAAATGAAAGCTGTGAAGCAGGCCATTGAAGTTTCCTTAATTTAACCATGATTCCTTTAAAACCTTACAACTTCCACTCAGGTCTTCAAGATCTGATTGATTTCAGAGAAGTCAAGCAAAGGTAGATAGAGTTTGGAGCAATACACATTGGAAAAGAATTCGTGAAGTTAAAATTTCAAACAGGGATCCACATTGTTGTTTCGAAAACAAACTAAAAATAAAAGCGACCAAGATTCAATTTTGACAAATCTTACAGACAATTTTAGTCAAATTTCCAGAAAAGCTACGAACCTCCCAAACGATCATAGCGTCCTGATTGGTTCCTTTCTTTCCTTGCTGAGTAAACAAGCTCGCGACGGAGCTCGATCCATTGGAGAACAGTCTCCCGGGAATCTGATGCAGAGCACGCTCCTTCAGCCCGCCGCCGCCCAGAGCTCCGCTTCCGGTGACGCCGCCGTTCAGCTTGCTGAAAAATGAGCTGAGCTCGCCGCTGACGCTGCCGATGACGGATTTCCTGCCGCTGTCCTTTCTACAGCCGTCGTTTCCATTTCTACTCTCGGAAGAATAGCAAATACCCATCTGAATTCGAATTATCCCTTATCCCAATTCTTTTTTTAAAAAAAAAAATCAAGAACAATTATTTTCAAATAAGAGAACAGAGCTGCAACTGAAACGGAAATTTATCAAAATGGAATCATCAAGAAAAGGAAGAATGCAAACAATATGTAATTTAAACCCTAGAGATCGTTTATACTGATTTTGGGAAAAATAATAATAAGAAAAGTACAGAATGATGAGAGAGAGAGAGACTGCAAAAATGAAATATCTGGAGATTTTTTTTTATCAATTTCAATTGGACTAAATTTTTTCAGCCATTCACTATTTATGATTTACGCCCGAAAAAATCTTCACTATATTTTTGTTCAATTTCTTTATCCACTTCAATCATTAAAAAAATCATTTTCAATACTGTTTAGTGGGACGGCGGAGGAAGTAAATCATTATGACTCAATCGGCCAAGAATGCTAGACCCGTGTCCACCGCGCACAAGGAGCCTCCTTACCCTTTATGGGATTTTTGAATAGCTCCCACACTGCCGCTTGCGGGACTCGATCCCTGGTCATCGGTCCAAGATTTCACGCTCTTGACCAACTGAGCTGCCATGCGGGCGAAAGGAAACTTGAACATAGCTTAGTTAAATGTTGCTATTTGTGATCAAGTAAAAAATTGTTGTAGTAGACTAAATTAAATTAGTTGAATTTAAAATATTCCTTTCGTCTTAAATTTGTTTATACTTTATACAAAACAAAGTGGAATTTCAAGTTTTTAAAAACTCATTTATTTCCAGATTGGTATAGAAATTAAAAATAAAAATAAATACTAAAAAAAAATTAAAATCTACAAAACAAAAGATGACAAGAATATTTTATTTTATTAAATAATCAATCAAAACGCATAAATAAAAAAATTCATGATCTTTACATAGTGAAAAATGTAATTCTTTTTTAAACGGAGGGACTAAGTTATAAAGAACAAACTCTAATACTCCAGATTACTCTTTTCGTTTTAGAATTACGGCCACATCTCACAATCTCGAAAACTTTTCCTTGTTTTTGTTTTCTTTCATTCTTACTTTAAAAAAACTATTGTAGTTATGTAGTACTCCTTCCGTTTGGAACATTTGTTCACTTTCACTTTCTTCAGTCAAATTTAGTAAACTTTGATCCCAAATTAAATTAAAATAATTTTAGGCATTGATACAAAAATAGTTTTATTAGATAATTGTATAAACTATTTTCAAAATATTATTTTATCTAGTTAAAATACATTATATATTTTATTTAATTATACATCAAAGATTCAATTGATTGAAAAAAGTCAAAACTCAGAGAGTTCTCCGATACAAAGATAGTAGGTATTTTTTCTTGAGTTTTATAAAGTTCAATTTTGTACAATTAATCAATACTCCCTCCGTCCTAAAATGATCTTCCCGATTCGCAAAACGATGAAAAAATCCCAAGTTTTTTTAATCTATTTTATTTAAATATTGGTGTAGAAATAAAAAATAAAACATACATATTTAAAAAACTACATCAAAAGTTCAACAAAACAAGTGGTGACAAGAATATTTTATTTTATCATATAGGCCATGAAAAAACATAAATAAATATAAATTCCCGTGAAGTTGGAATAGTGCTCTGGGAAGATCATTATAGGACGGAGGGAGTACTTAACCCACACCAAGCCTAATCACCATGAACTTTTAAGGTCAAATGAGAGATGATGCAATAGTGAGTATCTGCCATAAAAGGCACCTATTTCAAGCTAAGGTCGGACAAAAGTAAATAGATAAATAATGGTTTGTAGAGGGGTAGTTCTCTTTTGTCTTTTATGCTAGTCGCAATTTATCCTTTTCTAAAACTACTATTTATTGTGTAGAAAAAATGAATGAAGTCAACTTTGGGTTGAATTTCATTTTCAACTTTTATTTATTTATTTATTCGTCTTATACCACATAAGAGTATAAGACATCTATAGTACTCCACACGTTCCAAATTAAGTTGTACATTTACTTTTCATGCGATCAAAATTTATCTATTTTTTTGTTACTTATTTGATAAAATAATATAATCATATCATCTTTTGTTTTGTAGAGCTTTTGATGTTATTTTTAATTTATAAAGTTTATTTTTTTTAATTCGGTCTCAAGTCTATAATAAATTACATTGAAATAATAAATTGCATTGAAAAAACAATTTCATTCAAATATCTTGTACCAAAACAAGCGATTTAAATTGAGACGAAAGAAATAATTTTTTTCCTATTCTCTTCTACACCATCTCTTGTTTTTTAACATCACATCGTTTTGTCTATCGATGTTTCTCTCGTCATTGTAATTATTCTTTTCATTTTTATCCTTCTATTTTTCTTAAATGTAGGCCACTCATTTTTTCCAAAGACACTGCATGTTTATTTTAATATTTTTTTTTCCAGAAAATTCTTTCGTGGACCTAAGGTCTATTCTCATAACAGGACCTTACTGTAGAACAAATTATGGTTTACGAGGAGACATATCTCACTTTTTCAAATTATTTTATTTACAAAAAGGTATGTCGATAAAAAATAAAAATTATATATTAAAAAACTACGTCAAAAGTTTTACAGTATAAAATAAGATGTGACAAGAGTATTTTTATTTTATCAAATACTCAATAAAATCGCGTAAATAAACAAAAATTATTGAGAGAAGAAAAAAAAATTATAATCAAATTGGGGATGGAAGAAGTAATATTTTTGTTTTAAAATTTGACATTATATTTAAATAAATTGAATTAAAAAATAATTTAAAACCAAAGTTCATAAAGTGAAATGAAATGTTATTTTACGATAGAGAGAGTATTCTCATGGGGGGGCCGTTAAATTAATTAAGGTTAGCAGAAGCGCCAGCAGCAAGAAAGGGGATGAGCTTCACGCGCGCTCCAATCTCCTCAATCGCCGCCAATCTTTCTTTCTTCCAATCAAACCCGACCCGACACCCATTTTCACGTTTCTTCCTCAGCTTGAATCACCGGCGCAGACACATTTCCGTTTCCGCCATCTCGTGCTCGACGAAGCTTCAAACGCCGCTGTATCTGCGGCCGGCGTCCTTCAGCGCCGCCCTGTCCGATCTGAAAAGATGGCACCTTTGGGCCGAAACCCTAGCTTCTTCCGTGGGCTTTACGTTCCTGGTCCAGGACAACGGCCCGGACTCGGCGCTCCTTCTCAGAGAGCTCAAATGGCTGGTGGAAGACGCGGTTGAGACGCCGGATGCACTGCTCTCCTCCGATTGTCACTCCACTCCGGTGTCGATAAGGGCGTGTTTGGACGATCTGTATTCTCTCTGGAAACAGAGGGTAGAGGAAAGAAGGCCGTTCCAGTATGTGGTTGGGTGTGAGCACTGGAGAGATTTGGTTTTGGGTGTTCAAGAAGGTGTTTTGATACCCAGGCCTGAGACTGAGCTGATTGTGGATTTGGTGGAAGATGCTGTCGAGGAAGATGATCGATTGAGAAATGGGCTCTGGGCTGATTTGGGCACCGGAAGTGGTGCTCTTGCTATTGGGCTCGCTAGGATTTTGGGCCCATCCGGAACCGTTGTTGCCATCGACTTGAGCCCAATTGCCGCTGCAGTCGCCTCTGCCAATGTGCAGAGGTATAACTTGCAGGTTCTTGCTAACAATGTTTAGAGCAGGATTCTTTTCCGCGCACTTTGTTATAAGACTCCGAACTAGTACCTACCCCTAATCCCCACGACTTAACACTGGAAAAACATTGTAGCATATAGGTGAAACATGAGGTAGAGTTGTGGGGGTCCGTGGGTAGGAACCACTTCGGGGTCTGATGGACGTGGGTCCCTCAAATGGTTGGTGTCATATTTTGACATCTAGGGTGAGTGTCAAAAGAAACTCCACTCTAATGTTCATTGTAAAGTTGCTACCTTTTTTGAAGGGCTTTTAAAAGTTGCAATTCTTGAACAATGAATACAATGGCAAACACCCCTATATGTGTTTACTATGGTTAATGGGTATTTTCCTTATATGTTTATTGTTTATGATAGAGGACAGTGTTGGGGTTGTTCAACTACGGCCTAAGACACTTGGATCAAACTGCACTAAAAGAATGAATTCCCTTATTAACTCATCATTCTTTCTCTAACTTTAAGATGTGGGATACATGACGGTTTATTAAGGTTAATGTGTCTTTTGTCATCCAGAGCAAAGTGAAAGTAAGACAAGGGTCTTGGTTTGAGCCACTCAAGGATGAAGGAAGAGAATTGGATGGGCTTGTGAGCAATCCACCATACATTCCAACCCAACACATTGCAGGTTTACAATCTGAAGTTGCTAAACATGAACCGAAACTGGCGTTGGATGGTGGACCAGATGGTTTAAAAGATCTTTTGCATCTTTGCAAGGGAGCTGCTTCAGTGTTGAAACCGGGCGGTTTCTTTGCTTTCGAGGTAGAGCAGTTTATCTTTAATGTTGATGACATAAAGTCCTACATCAAATACCCAAAGTAGAAATGACTAAAATATAAGAAAATGAGTTCCTCCACCCATTTGCTGATATCAATTACCAGAAAAGCAGATATTACCCCTTGTTTACATTTAGGTTATTACATATCCTTACATTTTTGTTGGTGCAGACGAACGGGGACGAACATAGTAAACTTCTGACTAATTACATTGAAACAGAGACAAAAGGTGTATTCTCTGATGTGAAGATAGTGTCTGATTTTAATGGCGTTCATAGATTCATCACTGGATTCAGAGCTGGATGAACATTCTCTGTTAGTGAAATGTTCCTTAGAGTAGATTCTTGAGGAATGGCATTTTGATTTATGTGCAAAAAATGTCATTGTGGTGGGTAATAGATTCACTCCGGTCTCATTTAAAACCACAAAACTCTGCTTCATAAGAGATGCTGCCAAAAAACTCGTATCTCTTACTTATAAGAGTTGTTCTTTCGTGTTTTTAAGTAAAATATGAACCTTCTCACATATTTTATATACTGACAATTGGATCTTTTTTGTCTATGGCCCAATTCTTTTACGATATCAATGCATTAAGGTGTATAACATGAGCATGGACCTTAGGACTATGGAAGAATCTACCTACTTTTCTTTTATAATCTGTTTATGTGTGTACTTCAATACTTGCAATGTATTATCTATATACTACCTCCGTCTCACTCTCTTTGTCCACTTTTGACTTTTGGAACTATTCATCTAAGCATTTTGACTCATCAAGTTCTCTCAATGTGTAAGCCTAAATATAGTCATGTGTGATCTTGTTTGATTTGTCTTAACATATAGATTATTAATATATAATTTCTATAATTTTTTAATATACAAATTACAAGATAAAATGGATTAAAGAAGTGCATTGGATGGTGTGTCAAAAGGTAAGTGGACAAAGAGAGTGGGACGGAGGGAGTATATCCATGTGTAAATTAGGAAGAAGTATCAAGTCGTATCTCTTACTTCATCTGTTCTAAAATACTCTTTTTATTTACCATATTTCGTGTTTCTAATCATCTTTTCATTTCCTCAAATAAAAATCATCTCATTGTTTATTTATTTGGAAATTTTAAACCAATCAAACAATCATCTTCGAATGAAAATTAGTTTTTCTGTTCTTTTTCATCAATTTTCTCAAAGGAAGATTTTTTCTTTTCTTTCTTTTTTTTCCGTTTGATGGCAAATGAAAGTACAATATATCGACAACAATCTCCGATTAAATGGCGTCCCAAAACATACACTAAGGTTATAATGGCTTCTCTGGGTTGCAATAGTACCTTACACCATCCTCCTAATGATAACGTTGTGCCTATGTCTTATAAAATCCTACTGCAGAAATTACAACACCATCACTGGTTTCATCATCATTATACTTGAAGAACTACTTGATCATCTGGGAATTATTGTTTTTGATCTTCTGCAAAACTTTCTGCACTAGCAAACCAATGAAATGTATGAACTTGGGGAGGCAATATTGGATATTGTGAAGGGGTCAACTCATATCTTCAAATATATCTTCATCTTGATGATACAACTCTTGTTGTGAGTGCTTCACGAAAGGAGAGCCAACTTGCACACTTCCTTCCGCTAGAGATGATCCAACAATCTATACATTCCAAAAACAAGGGTTGTTGGTTTAATCATTCAGAAATCGAAATGAATAATTCGTACGTTGATAGAAGATAATTCCATTGATACCTATTTTTAGGCATAAAAAAAGTATAATATAAATATGATGTATGTGCACAAGTATATACATATGTATGGATACAATATTTTCACAAATCAATAAAAACTAGATGCCTTTTGGGCGACCATGTATTTTATTGTGCATTTGGAAAGCATTTACATATGTACATGACGTGGGCTTGGAAGGGAGCTTCCAAGCCCTACAACGAGAAGACGACGGGTGTGGGGGGTAGGGAGTAGGATTTGGGTTGTTTCCTTTTATAGAGGAAAATTGAATCTTTTCGGTGAAATGTCCCATGTGGAGTTCAAAATTCTGCGGGCCTCAGTGTCCGGTCGGGGTATAATAATACTGATGGATTAAATATTTTACCTAATCCAATATTATTTTAACAGTAAAGTAAGCCCAATTCAGTCCGGCCCAAGATACAAATGAGATAAATTATTCAAGACGGGGCCAGAAATATGAAGACGAAGAATATAATTTGATGAGATATATGAATATTAACTAGAACCCCAAGGATTATTTGGCGGGACCTAGACATAATGCTTTGTCTTCCACTATTTCTTTCATTTTCCTCCTTTAAAAGGAGAGAGTACGAAGGAGTGAGGGGAGACCAATTTTCTACATAAAGAGAGCTCCTGTTACTATTCTTCATTCTTCTTCTTCTTTAAGCTTGGAGCTCCATTAATGGCTCCAAGCTCCTACAATGATGTATATGTAAATTCCCCCGAGATTAATAAAAGTTCCTCCCCTTGGCATGGCACCGCCTAAAAAGACCCGTGGTTTTCTCCTGATTTGGATTTCCATGTATAAATACTTTCTCTCCGCTTTATTTATTTATTTATTTATTTTCTGGATTTCGCTATTCGGTGCGGTGCTGATCCGGTACCGAGTTTGTCGGGTCGACGCCCCGAAAAAGCAGTTTCCATCAAATACAAAGAGTAATAATCAGCATTAAGCATATACCTTCTCTAGTTCCTCAAAGACAGGGGTATTTTCTCTGAGGTACTGCAAAGCCTTGTCCCTACCCTGACCTAACCTATGATCACCATAGCTGTACCATGAACCCTTCTTCATCACTATATTCATTGCCTCAGCACAGTCCAGCACGCAACCCTACAGCTCAACCAAAGATTAAGAGTGGGGAGAAATTGAGGTACATTGTAATAGGGTATAGGGATAATACTGTAAATTCACATACCAGCTTGTTCACTCCCTCTCCAAAAGTAATCTCAAACTCGGCTTGCTTGTATGGCCTTGACACCTGTGAGGATTTTCAAAACACAATACATAGAAATGCTTGTAGGACGTTATGAATGGATATTGCCCCTAATAAGTACTCTATATGAGATAAACCTCAGTGTTTTAAGAGCTCGTTTGGGGTGAGTTAAGTCTAATACTTATTCTTAACATGGTATCAAAGCTATGAGGGGTTAGAGTGAGTTAAGCCTAATGCTTATTCTTAATAGACGTAAAATGGAAACCGTGCATAAAACATATGAATGGATGTCGGGAAAAAACATATGATTTAGATGGTTTTGGAATTTGATCTCATGATATTTGCCAATATGATTTTATGCGTGCATTTATAAAGAGAACTAAATTTAGACAATTAATTTCTTTGCGTGAAATTTGCTAATATTACTTGCCTTACTCTTTTGAACTCGTACCCGCACTCTTAATCCAACTTCTTCATCTCCTTTGGCCTTTAAACAAAATAATGGAAGTTTAACACAATTTTGAACAACTATAGATAGGAAGATTAACTCATTTCAAAGGGATGATGTCCTTACAGACTTTATCTTCCCAGCAGGACGGATTTCAAGTCGAACCGAAGCAAAAAACTTCAATGCAATTCCTCCACTAGTCACTTCTGGGTTCCCATAGTATACACCTATCTAATTAAACCAAAAGAAGAATAATATTAGAGTGCAATATAACAATAACTACCCAGTAAAATCCCACAAAATTAGAGTCTAAGAGGAGGGTGTGTGAGTAGATTTTACCCCTACTCAAAAGTCAAAAGTAAAGAAGTTATTTTCAAACGACTCTGGACTCAAACACATATGCATACGTAAAGTAAACAAAGTAGTACACACAAAATAAGAGCACAAGGACATGAAGCATACATGCAAACACTACCAACTAGTCCCACAGTTCAGAAAGCACACACGCACAAGCTACAAACTATGGTAAAGATGCACCAGCACAAACTAAGAAACTACAAACTAAGACCCAAAGGTCTACCCAACTATTCTAATCCTAGATCTCTTTACGTTCCTATCTAAAGGTCATATCCTTAGTAATATCCTGAAGTTGTAAGCCCAATCTAATGGCATCCTTCCAACTCTTCTTAATTATACTCTGCCCCTTAGTATGCCCACTACACAAACCCCTAGGATGACTGTACGCATTAGATCTTTTTACATGCCCAATGGCCTCAACCTAGCTTCCCGTAGCTTATCCTCCACATGTAGCTAGAGTCTACAATGTAAAGGGTCGAAAAAGGACATGTTCATGCATGGACTGAATCATAATAAGTATGGTACATTTGTACCTTATACCGTATTTGATTCAGAAAAATTAGCGTACAACCAGCCTTTGAAGCATTGCCTGACATCTTACGCAAAGCTTGACTCATCAGACGTGCTTGCAACCCCATTTGCTGCATTCCAATCTCCCCCTGTGCAAAGTACACAAACATTACACACCACGTAAATGTCAAGACCAGAAGACATTTCTTGAGGCCATGTTTGGAAAGCGAGAAATGGTAAGAGAATAAAAAATGCCAAGGAAAATTGGTTTTAATTTTTTATTTTAACTAGGAAAATACGAAAGAAACAAGCTTGATAATAAATGTATATAAATAAAATGAGTTTGAACAAATATCTAAAATTAATTTATAACCATTTTTTTAGTTTTCACCAAACTTTCTTTACATCCTATTTTCTTTCTCTAGCACTTTTCCCAGTTTCAAACAACCCGTAACAGTTTCTTGAAATTGAAAATTTTAAGAATGTAAAATACTTCAATCTCAGCACGTGGAGTGAGGGCTGAGACAGAATCTATGCATATGAGATCCACAGCACCTGATCTACACATGCGATCTGCAACTGAAACAAAATAGTTTATAAGTAAACTAAACACAATGTAACACTATATGTTGACATGACCACTATTGCCAAAAGATTGGAAGACGAGAGGGTAGTATTACTCTCAAGAGCCATCTCTCCATTATCCGGTTGGCACACGATTAAATTCTCAACGTCAACACCCAATGCTTTGGAGTATGTTGGATCAAATGCATGCTCAGCATCAACAAGCATTGCATTGCCTCCTAGCTTCTGCATATATAACACTAAAAAAGTTAAAATCTTTGCGGCACAGTAGATTATATTCACCTTTATTCATAATTTCATAATCTTCTGTGGCTTTTAAACCAAAAAAATCTTCATCACCGTGTTGGGAGGGGCCTCATGGAAACAACCTCTCTACTTCCAAGTAGGGGTAAGGTCTGTGTACACTCACCCTCAGGCCCTATTTTTGTGGGATTTTACTAGGTTGTTGTTGTTGTAAATTTTCATCACCCCCATCCCCTCACCCAAATTCAAACGTCCACCCAGAAGGATAAACAGTGTATGTGGAGACACTCCATAGTATATGAAAGAAAATTATTATGGGTGAAACTTTCGGGGCACATCTAAAATTACATTTTACGACGGCTTTACTATCTTATCCTCATGGTAAGTTTACACGGTGCATAAAACCACAGATATGTATCATTAGCCTTACTGCATGGAATAAAACGAAACACATACTGGACCTGCACTTCTGCAATAGCATGGAGGGCTAAGGTGGTCTTTCCACTGCTTTCTGGTCCATATATCTGAAATAATTATAAAAATGGAACCCTTAAATGACATTTTATTGTCCGCTACATGCAATGATGCTTTAGGTGCCTGTGGATGAAAAATTGACAGGTATTGAAAGATAAACCTCAACAATTCTCCCTTTGGGAAGGCCACCGCCTAAAGCAAAGTCCAAAGTCAGAATGCCGCTAGGGAAAGTTTCTCTGCACAAAGAAAAGATAGATAAACAACAATAAAAAAAGGGAAAGTAAAAGCATATAGCTTTGGGGAAGAGCGCACAACAAAATGTACAGAATACAATTATATTCCAATTTACTTCTTGTAGCATCATCTTGGCAACTGCAGTGGTTAATTGACTATTTTTTCTTGGGTGGTAATTTTTTGAAATATACGGAGTACAATATACCATTTTGTGATTGTTTCAACTACGCAAAACGCCTAAACCCCAGAAGAGCAAATATTGGACCTTTAATATACTTGCTACACTTACTACCCAAAACTTCATAGATAAGAAGCAATGCACGTCTAATATGCCATTTTAATTTAGTCCCTTATTCAACTTGAGCTAAAACCTTGTCGACTCTAAGCTGAACCGTTTTCGGATTCTTGATGTATTCTATTCACACAGAGCAAATGTGTCAAAATAGCCAACAGAAAGGATAACACATACACAAGAGCTCCGCCGGCACTTCCCAATCTTGTAACACTTCCTTTGCCAAAGGAACTGTTTATATCACTCATTGCTGCTTCCAGTGCTTTTTGCTAAATCGATTCTTGAAACACAGAACAGTCAGCAAATGCAAAGAACACAAAAAAACACTGAAACATAACAAGTGCACACACAAATTAAAAGAACCAAAGGGTTTCATAATACAGTGTAATTGAACAGACCCGGTCAATGAAACGAGGGTCAGAATCGGATTGAAGAAGTCCATTTACTTTAGCACCGAATTCCGAGCGAACCCTAATGCCCTGTTTGGCGGAGAACTTGGGTCGCAGAGAAGAGAGCTGCCGGAGGCGCTGGAATGAATACGAAAAGCTCTGGCGCTGACAGTAATGGATTTTGGCGGGAAAGTAATGGGAATGGGACGCTAGCTGTGAAGCTGAATTCATTTTCTGCAATTTATCAACAATGGCGGGTCGTGGGGGACGGTGAGGAAGACGACTAGAAGTTAGAGAGAGAGATTGCTGGTGGGATTTGGATTTTGGAGAGTGCGTATGGTGGGCCGCATAACCGAAGAAGTAAGCATCAAGCCCAATAAAATTACAAATCTTTTGCTGATGGCCCAATAACAGTCATGGTATTCGGGCTATAGATCCATTGTCATTCCTATGTATGTATATGAACGGAGACAAATTGCGTTTATTCGGGTCCTGTTTGGGACTATCGTGTAGATAATTTTTTAACTATGAAAATGTAAACAGTAAGGCCCCGTTTGGTATACGAAATGAAATTATAGAGTTATAATTAGGAACAATAATTTTAGTTTTGCTGTTTGGTAGCATAAAAAAATATGGATTTGGAATTGGCATTGCAAAAATGAATTGGAATCGAAAAATTCAGTTCCATTCAAATCAATCTCATAAAATTTTAATTCCAATTCTGTCAATTTTACATACCAAATGGACCCTAAAGAGTTTGATAACATTTCAAAACGTTTGAACTTTGAACAAATGGATAAAATACTCCCTTCATGGGAATTTAATCTTTCTTTCGAATTTAATCTGCTCATTTCTCAAATGAATATGCATTTAGATAGAAATACCCCTCCTTTATTAAACAACTCACATACTTTCATTATTTAAGTAAAAGTATTTTGTAGTTAGCCAATTTTATATTGAACTTTCATTAAAAAAAATAAGGAGTAAGAAAGAAATCAAAATAAAAAGATTGAATTGGGATAAAGGGAAAAAAATAGCTAAAAAAAAAGTTGAAATAACAATGATAATTGATAATCAATCATGAATTGTGTTAAAATGGGACAAAAAGTATGTGGGCTAAGCTGAGCCTACGGACCGTAACCCAAGACCAAGACCCACCCAGAGAAACACACAAATCCCGACCCTATAGTCACATCAGCTGGGCGGCCATTCATTCACTGTGGATGCTAAATCTAACCGTAAAAGTGTTTAGGTGGGAGGAAGCTAAGGAACTAGCTTGGGTGCTGGATTAGCTTTCTTTGAATTTAGGAAAATGTCTCCCAAACACCCCTTAGGATACACCAAATCTACGTCAAATCAAAAATAATCACATCAAATGTTTAATGTTTATACAAGCACAAATATTAAGTGTCTGTATTCATTTTCACATTGGTACCGAGTATATGTTTAGTGTACCCCAAATGGGGTGAATTCTATAGCACTCCTTGAATTTATACGTCTTTTGTTTCGTACTCCGTAATAGGCTAGAATAAAGTGTTTTTGTAAATTCCTTTTCCATAAAATCTTTGACGTAATTTTCTAATACTCTATTTGTAAGTTACGGAGTACAATTTATTTGTGTATCATCATATGAATAAAATGATTTGATAAAATACGGAGTTTTATCTCGTAACTCAAACATTAGTATTCTCCCCCCATCGTGAATAATCTTCATATTTGACTTTTCAGTGTCTTTAATGTAAGATTTTGATCATTAATATTTATATTTATACATGGATATACCCTATGAACATTTAATATTTCAAAACTACATTTCGTAAGGAAACTATTGATATTATATTTAAATCGAAGCTTGATGTGAATCTTGAGACTATGTAAACATCACTCTTTAATTAGTATAGGCTAAATGCTTAGTTTGATTCAAATGGATATTCCTACTCTCCTTTTTTAAATAAAAATATCCCTTCTTTTTTCTTTCTATAACGTCAAAAAAAACTCTTCTTAAATTCGCAGTACTTTTTACTCACTCCGTTATAAAATAAACTTCTCAGTTTGACTTTTGTATTCAAACTTTTTAAACTTTGACCATATACTACGAAAGAGATATGTTGAATTTTCATATAAATTTATTAGCAATAGATTTATTTTGAAATATAGTTTGAAATATACTCCTTCCGTCCACAAATAAACTTTATGTTCATTGTTCACATGGTCAAACTTTATTCATTTTGTTGGCCTATTTTTGTCACCCATTTGATAAAATAATATAGTAATGTCACCTCTAGTTTTGTAGATCTTTTGATATAGTTTTTTAATATGTAATTTTTATTTTTCAATTCTACATCATTTTTCATATAAAATGATTTAAAAATAACTTCAGTCAAACATCGTAACGCGCAATGTAAAGTTTATTTGTGGACGGAGAGAGTATGATTTTTATAAAACATATTTATATAAAAATTGAGATATTGATAATCAAATTATCATATTGAACACCGTGAAAAGTCTGAAAGTTGATTTTAGGACGGAGGGTCTACCTAATAAATCTAAACTGCACATTTTTATTGATTTCTTAATTTTGATATTAATGACACCTGGCACATGAAAAGCATTCCATATCTCTTTTTTTTCCCTTTTTTCTGCCATTGACAGCTAAGTGTCTTCAGAGAGAAATTCAGCAGCTGCCCAACTCCTTTGCCCCCGCCCCCCTTCAACAAATTTCTCTTTTTTTTCTCTCACTAAATTTGGGAAAGAATTTCTTCCTTTTCAGTACCAATAACTAATTAAATTCAAGATAATGGAAGAATATAAATATTTTCTTATTGCATTTCATGAGTTGGTCTATTCAAAATTCAATTTAAAGATCGAGTTTGCTTTGTTATTGTATATTTACTATTTTAAAAGGTTGAATTTTTTTATTTACTTGCATTTATAAGGTTTAGTTATTACTCCCTCCGTCCCACTGTTTTTGTCCACTTACCTTTTAGCACACCATCCAATGCACTTCTTTAATCCATTTTATCTTGTAATTTGTATATTAAAAAATTATAGAAATTATATATTAATAATCTATATGTTAAGACAAATCAAACAAGATCACACATGACTATATTTAGGCTTACACATTGAGAGAATTTGATGAGTCAAAGTGCGTAGATGAACAGTCTCAAAAGTCAAAAGTGGACAAAGACACTGAGACGGATGTAGTAGTTACTTTCTTGTTGTATCATTAAGAATGGTGTATTATGGAGCCAATTTTTCTTTACAAAAAATTTGATTTAGATGGTTGATAGAACATTACTCTACAACGACCAAAAAAACTACTATTTTATTGCTTTATCGAGTTAGTGTTGTTCCAATTATCTAATACTCATAAATTCTTTAAAATTGAAAAAAACGAAAAAATTGAAATAAAAATAGTATAAAACCGAAATAAATAACCAATGCTTAACATATTTTTGGAGCAGAATTCAACGGAATCGAACTGCTAACTTACTTTCATTTTTGCCTTTGATTTAGGTGAAAATTGATTTGCAAAAATCAAACCCATCCCTAAGTATTGATTTGCAAAAATCAACCGAATCGAACTGCTAACACTGAGAAGTTACTATACTTGTAGAACCTCTAGAAGTTACTATCTCAAGTGCTATCTAGACCCTTTATCAATCACTACGTGATTATATTTCAATTTACATATTTTCGATAACCGTCTCGTCAGTTCTTGTGAAACCCTTGCAAATGAGACTTATTCTTTTCTTTTTAAAAATTACTCCCTCCGTCCTAAAACTTTCTTCTCAGAGCACTATTCCAACTTCACGGGACTTTATATTTATTTGTGTTTTTTCATGGCCTATATGATAAAATAAAATATTCTTGTCACCACTTGTTTTGCTGAACTTTTGATGTAGTTTTTAAATATGTATGTTTTATTTTTTATTTCTATATCAATATTTAAATAAAATAGATTGAAAAAACTTGAGATTTTTCTTCGTTTAACGCAACGAGAAGAAAGTTTTAAGACGGAAGGAGTATAAAATGACAATAGACACATGGCCATCACCACGTCCCCCCATCGGATAAGGACAAAGTGAAGGAAGAATAGCTATAGCTACTCTGCCCGTGCACACACATAATAACAAGGACCATGCTAGGGTGCCATTACATGGGTGCTATTATGGGTGCATCAATGCTTCGCATAGACGATAATTGTCTGTGCGACACAGACAATTATCGTCTGTGTTTGTCTGTGCGAAGCATGAGTGCACCCATGGTAGCACCCATGCGGTGGCACTCTAGCATTTTCCTAATAACAACTCATATTCCCTCTCTTTTTTTCATTCAAACATTGTGATGGACTCGATTACAATTAATGTCTGTTCATATTTTTTCAATCTAATAATATACAAATAGCCCATGACTCAAATCTAGGTGAAATAAACTTCTCCATAAATCACGGGGTGTGAATTTCATACCACTCAAACGAGAAGAGAACTTGGAATGAAAAATTGTGTAGGAACATGAGAAAAAGAAGTTATTTTGGGGGTTGAAAGGAGGATCTTTTATTGCCGGTTTTTCTTTTATTTTTTTACCCTTCTGTGGAGTTAACAGTAATACAGTTCTACTCTCAAATATACAGTGTGTATTTAATTTATTTGTCAATAATAAATT